TTTTCTGTCCCTTTCCTCCTTGCCTTTTTGGATTGCAAACTCCATGAAAGCTTGAACTTTTTGTTCATAGTTAAATCCCCATCACTTATAAATGCCTGGAGTAAAGTATTCAATTTGCTGAATACATAATAACTCAAGCGTGTCAGGCACTATTCCAAGCATTTCACGTATCTTAACTCATGTAGTCTTCACAGTCTGGTTGAGGTAAGTACTATTTGTATCCTCATTTTATGATGAGGATATTGAGGTGCAACAAGGTTAAATGACTTGCTCAAAGTTCCTGAGCTAGGAAGCTGAGAGCGGGGATATGAAGCCCTGCACTCTGGATTTGAACCTACCCAGTCTGACTCCAGAATTTGCTGCATTAATCAGTATACCATACCATCTCTCTCATGAACAAATGAATATGTATCATCCTTATAAACTCGATTTTTAATGGCTCAGAGGAAAGCTTTGTGCATTATTTGCAATGTATTTAAAGCATTCATTCATTTAAATATATTTGTTGAACACCCCACTAGTGCTAGGAGGTGTGGAAGAGCCAAAGTGGAGGAAAAACCTGACAATTCCTGACAGCAACTCAACACACATTTAATTTTCACTATGGTTTAGATCAGTGGTTCTCAACTGGTGGCAACTTTTTGTCCCCCAGAGGATATTTGGCAATGTCTGGAGAGAATTTTGGTTGTCAGCACTATGGAGGAATACTGCTAAATAGCCCATAATGCACAGGACAGTCCCCTACAAGTCCTTATCGGGTCCCAAATGGCAACAGTGCCCAGGCTGAGAACCTCTGATCTCAATTCTATATTATGTACTGGGGTACAAAGAAGAAAAAGGTGTCTTATATCCTCTGCCCTCAATGATCTCACAAATGTTTAGTCTGGCCCCCACCCCAATCTTTGTCAACTTCCAAGTTAATGAAGATCAGGCCTTTACTATCGGGTTAGCCAAAAATTTCATTTGGGTTTTTCTTAAGATGGTGTGGGAAAACCCGAACGAACTTTTTGGTCAACCCAATATTAGCATGGGAGAGGGAGTGATAAACTATTAATATTTACAGCAGGTTAGGGTGGGTCAGAGGTGATTCAAAATAAAAGAGAAACCTTTCAGCTGGGCTTGCCTTCATAAGCAAAGTTTCTCTGGGTGTTCCAAACAAAATGTACCCATCGTAATAAAAGTTAATTCATAATAGAGACAGAAGCCAAGGACCCAAGAATCAGAGGACGGAGAGATCATTTATGGAACCTTACCCAAGGTTAACCTTGGTGGAGAAGAGAGGGTTTGAATCAGGTCCTGAAGGCTGGATGGAATTTTGACATGGGACATCTCAAAAAAAACCAGACAGGATAGAGAAAGAACTTTGATATTTTATAATTGAATTTGTGTCCATCTGGGGAAAATGCATACTTTAAAACAGTATGTTGTAGGGCAGGTGTAGTACAGCAATATTTGACTTGAGTTTAATTGCCAGCTCATTGTTTTTAATTCTCTCAAGTATTTAAAATCTTAGAATGCTATTACATTGAGAATTCCTTTTTAGTGTGTCTGGTAATGTCTAAAATAGAGCACATTTACTCTTAAGAAGTTTAACAACAGAAAACACCTATTTAATATATACCCAACTTTAGGTGAATATTTAAATTTCCTCTAGGCAGCCATATAAATAGACTACTTTTCTCACTCATGTGGACAGCTTGGAGGAATATCGTTCTTTATGATTGAATCCTCAAACTTTACCCTTCCCCTTCTCATCCCAACCAAACTAGGGTGATGCCATAGGTTGTGAAGGCCACCCTCTTGGAGGGAGCAGGTGGTACTGGCCAAAGTATGTGTTCTGACACAGGTCTGTGCCAAAGGAAGAAAGGGCACATTTCTAATTTTCAAGGGTATTTCTAATGGGCTAGGGGTGGCCCTGTCTTAGCTCCATCACAAACTCTGCTGAATTTGTTCCCTTCGTTATCTCTCTACAACTGTAGCCTCTGCTGGCACCAGCCATCTCCTGGGTGCTGATGCTACCCTACTGTCTTCCAGAAACCCATGGACCATGTCTTTGCCTGGGCTATAGATCCAGCTTGTTTTAACCTCATTTCCATATAAAACAAGTCCTTCCCAGTTTTGATGGAGGGTGCCATCTTTTTGTGTTTGTCTAGTCTTCTATTGCTAAAGAGTCAATTTCTATGCCCACCGATCTCACTCAGAGCCCCTCTGCTCCTTAGTTTTTCAACTTTCCTTAATGCTATATTCCTGGATTAGCATCATGGAACACAAACTATAGGAACTTGGGCAAGAATCTCAACCTTTCTGAACTTGTTTCCTCATCTGAAAAACTTGTTGTGAAAGTAAATGAGAATGAAATTATTCAGCACAGTACCTGATAAAGAGATGTCACTTATAAAAATATTAGTTTACTTTCCTTTTACTTTGGGTTGAATAAATAAAACTGTAACCAGTTTTTTCTTTTGTTTTTTTTTCTCCTGGGCTTACTGTTTCAGTTCTGTGCAGACCTTAATGCAAAACTCACCATACACTATAGCTTTCACCAAATTTCACATGACACCAGGTTTTTTAAAATTATTTTCCTAGTATGACTGTAGTTTTATAGTAGATTATAGTAGATTGTAATATTGTTCAGCAGTCTCCACTTTTTCTCCCTGACCCTATTCCCTTTCCCACTGACTTGGTTTACCCATGTGACTTCCAGGGGTGGGAGTGACAGGTTGCCTTTTTCTAGCAGAAGTCCATCACCCTCTTGCACTCTTACCATCCTACATGAGAACAGCATGCTTAGGTAGCAGCTACTTCTTCAGCCTGGGTCTCAGCAGCAGACTCAGTGCAGATCTAAACTAAAGCCTAACTGATATCAGGAACCCAGGTAGGCCCAGCAGAGCCACAGCCAATACTCATAAGTGAGAAATAACTGTTCATTGTTTAAGCGACTGAGACTTTGGGATCGTTTATTGTCCCAGCAAAAATTGACTAATACAGAAACCATGGGGAGAGGGTCACCGCATACAGCTCCTGGCATTTCATTCACTCAGTCCCCAGGACAAGTACTCTTGTCCTATTCTGGTTTCCACATCCCCCCATCCCCTAATTGTCTCATAGAAGCTCAGTCTTGCACCCCCAATTGGTCTCTTTTATTATGCAGGATTATTTTCCTCTTGCCAGTGAAACTTGGAAGAGACTTGTCACTTTCACAGTGTGTATCCCACTGGCAATGTGCTCATTGAAATACCTTGTCAAGAAATCAGGCCTTTCTCCACAATTATTTTACCAGCTACAAGGAAACAAATTTTCATTATGTGTAACATAAGATGGATGCTCTTATCCTGCAGTCTTTTCTGAGATGTAAGTGAATCTTACTCAGGTTTAGGTAGTTACCTTCTTGCTTTAAAATAAATACCTGATATTTCTTCTTTACGAAGTTGCATTAGTTTCTAATTGGTGCTGTAACAAACTACCACAAGCACAGTGGCTTAAAACACCACAAGTTTTTTATCTTACAGTTCTAGAGGTCAGAAGTCCAAAATGGGTCTCACAAAGCTAAAATCAAGGTATCAGCAGAATGTGTTGCTTTCTGGAGGCTCTAGGGGAGCATCTGTTTCCTTGCCTTTTCTAGCTTCAAGATGCTGCCCACACTGCTTGGCTCCTGACTCCCAGATATCGAATTACTCTGATCTCTGCTTCTGCCTCACATCTCTTTCTCTGGCTCTACTGCCTCCCTTATTCACATATAAGGATTCTTGTATTTGCTTTGGGTCCACCTAGAAAATTCAAGATAATCTCCCATCTCAAGACCCTTAACATAATCATATCTTTTTTTCCCTGTGTAATAATAGATATCTTGTGGAGAAGTACTTTCTGATGATAGCCATCCTAACAGGTGTAAAGTGATATCTCATTTTGATTTGCATTTCCCTGCTGCTTAGTGATATCAAGCCTCTTTTCATGTAACTGATGGCCATTTGTATGTCTTCTTTGAAAAACTGTCTATTCAGTCCCTCTGCCCATTTTTTAATCAAGTTGTTAGCTTTTTTGTTCTTGAGTTGTATAAGTTCTTTGTCTATTAATCCCTTATCAGACATATGATTTGTAAATATATTGTCCCATTCCATATATTGCCTTTTCATTTTGTTGATTGTTTCTTTTGCTGTGGAGAAGCCCTTTAGTTTGATGTAGTTCTACTTGTTTATTGATTTACATGAACATCTGAAATATCAAGGCTATTGGCCTATTATTCGTCATGTTATTGCATGTGATAGAGTATGCAGAGATGACTTTATTTTGGTTCAATAGATCTTAAGTCAGTGATTCCTTACAGTAATTGACTCTATCCATAATAATATATTCATCTTTCACTGAACTGTTATGCTATTTGAATATTTCCTCTTTTTATGATCATTAACGTTTCCCTTCTAGACAAAGTTTTTACTCCTAAGTGATTATAGTGTTTTAAAATCTAGACCACTTTACTCACAGGACTGCTTATGGTACATTTTCATTTTATTTATTCCTACTTCAATTATTAATACTTGTGGACCTATTGCTTAGTCTCCATAACTGAGAAACATTTCCCCTGCATAGCCATTCTTCTATTTATTTTTGTTTTGTTTCTGATTCATAAATAATTATAAGGGAATAGGAATTTGGAAGGATTTTCTTCCTGGATAAAGATTTAAGGTGGTTTTAAGATATTTTATTTAGTACTTGCTTCATTTGTAAGAAAGAAAAAAAATCTGCCTTTTCCTTTAAAGAAGATCTATAATTCTATAAATTTTGTTTTCTGTTGTGTTTCCTAATGTAATTGTTTGCCATCTAGTGGACAACCTAAGTTACTGCTCAGTTTTATAAAATAGGGTTCTATGTAAGATATCTAGAGATAGAGATGGAAATTGATCAGAGATATTCTGGGGCAATGTATGTTTCCATTAGTGTGTACCAGTTCAGATTATGTAGGCTTAAAATGCTTAATCTTTTTTTTTGTTTTGTCCTTGTAGGCTGATATTAGAGATACTTATCTTTATCATAGATAAAGCAAATTGTTCAGGAACTGAGAATTAAAAACTAATTTATATAAAAGTAAGCAACAATTCTTTAAAAGAACCAGTACTACTTGGGGAGAGGAGGTGATCCTGTAGATAGGATAGGTGGGGAGATCAAGGGGTCTAATGAGAGATGGAGAAGTGAAGGGGAAAGGGGAAAAGGATACATAGAGAGAAAGGATGGGTGGGTATCATTACAGAGATGGGGGAATACCTGAATAGGTAGAAAAGAGAAATAGCTAAGAAAGAACAAAAGGATCTGCGACAAAGAGGCAACTAGACAAAGTTGAAATGGAAAGGGCATAAAAAATGTGTCCAAGAGGAAAAAAAATATTGGATTAAAAATGACCTGAGAGAATAGAAATGGTGCTTTATCTTGCAATGTGTGTCAGCTACCTAGAAGCACCACCTCTGATTCTGTCTACAAGATTCTAAGAAAGTGTCCCATAGATCTTACTTCCTGATTTTTATGATCAATGTACAGACCTAGATTATACATGCACGTGTGTTGACTGATTTTTTCCTTTTGCCTTTTTCATATTTAGAGTTCTCACAGCGCAGGGAAACAGTAAGGGTGTTGTGCTTCTTTTACTAGGAACTATTATTTCATTTGGGATTTTGTTGAAGTATTCAACCAGCAGTGAACTATTACAAGTAGAACGTAGGACTCCTGATTGCTTTGAGCAATTAAGCAACTGAGGGCGCTGGGGAATAACGTTAATCAAGGTACACTATAGAAGTCTATTATTCACAAAAAGAAGTCAGGTGTTTCATTCAACAAATACTTAATTGAGTTCCCATTATATGTCAGGCCTGTACTAGACATGGGAGTATAAGACAAAAAAAATCTTACAGTCCAATAAGATTTTTTAGTTAACTGGAGAGGTTACAGACTGAAAACTCTTATCCTTCTTCTTTAAGAAATTATGTTTTGTATGAGTCTGCATGCCTTGTGTGATAGGCAGAATTATAAGGTGACCCTCAGTTATCTATGCCTTGAGTGTGGATGGAACCTGTGAATATAATGACATACTGTTCTTGTGATTATACTACCTTCAAGGACAAAAGGGAGATTATCCTGTCTGGGCCTGATCTAATCACACGAGTCCATTAAGTCTAGATCTAGAGGTCAGACACAGCAGAAGTCAGAGATGTAAGTATGAGAGAGATTTGAAAAGAGGGAAATTCTGCTGGCTTTGAAGATAAAGGGGCCATGTGGTAAGAACATGAGAATGGACTCTAAGAGCTGAGGGCATCCCCTAACAAAGAGCCAGCAAGAAAAAAAGAGATCTTAGTCTTGTAGACAAACCACTGAATTCTTCCAGCCCATATATGAGCTTGGAAGAGACCCCTAAGCATGAGGTAAGAATGCAGCTTATGGATATCTTGATTTGAAACCCAGAGTAGAGAGGATATAAAAGTGTACTAATACAAGGTTCTTATATTACATATGAAATGTTGAAATATTATTGATAGACTGTGATAATGTGTGTGTGTGTGTATTAAATACAAGAGCAACCACAAAATTAAAAAAAATAGATATACCCCAAAAGTAAACAGTGGAGATGAAATAAAACCATTTAAAAGATATATTCAGTTATTCCAAAATAAGGTAGGAAGAGATAAAAAGGCCAAAAAAGTGGGGATAATTAGAAAACAAGTAACATAGGGAAGATTTAAATTTAAACATACCAATAATTTGTTAAATGTAAGTGATCTAAACACCTCAATTAAAAGGCAGAGAGGGCTTCCCTAGTGGTGCAATGGTTGAGAGTCCGCCTGCTGATGCAGGGGACACGGGTTCGTGCCCCGGTCCGGGAAGATCCCACATGCCGTGGAACGGCTGGGCCCGTGAGCCATGGCCGCTGAGCCTGTGCGTCCGGAGCCTGTGCTCCACAACAGGAGAGGCCACAACAGTGAGAGGCCGGCATACCGCAAAAAAAAAAAAAAGGCAGAGAATGTCAATATCAAATAAAAAAGCAAGACCCAATTCTATGCTCTCCACAAAACACCCACTTTAAAACAAGGACAAAGAAGGATTAAAAATAAAACAAGAAAATAATATGCCATGTAAATGAATCAAAAGAAAACTAGAGCAGCCTTGTTAATGTTAGATGAGGTAGATTCAGAACAAGAAATACTATCAGGGATAAAGAAAGACTTTGCATAATAAAGGGTTTATTTAATGAAGAAGACTTCCAACCCTAAATGTGTATGTATATAGTAACAGAGATTCAAAATACATTAAGTAAAACGGATACAATTAAAAAGAGAGACAAATCTACAATTATAGTTCTAAACTTCAATACTCTTCTTTCAATAATTTATAGAACAAGTAGACAAAAACATCAGCAAGGATATAGAAACACTATCACCCAATTTTATATAATTGACATTTATAGAACACTCCACCTGCAATAGTAGAATACAATTTTTTTTCAAGTGCACATAGAACATTCACCTAGACTGCCATATTCTGGGCCATAATGTATATCTCAGGAGATTTACAAATATTAAAATATCACAAGTATGTTCTAATGGCAATAAAGAAACTTGAAATCAACAAAAATATATCTAGAAAATCTTTCAGTATTTGGAAATGAAACATCATACTTCTAATTAACTAAATGACAAAAAATCACAAGGTAAATTAGAAAATATATTGAATTAAAAGAAAATGAAGTGAGAACTTATCAAAATTTGTGGGATGCTTCTGGAGCAGCTTTAGCAGGACAGTTAAAACAGTATTTAGAGGGAAAGTTATAGCTATCCATGCTTATATTAATAGAAGAAGGATTGTCTCAAACAAATGATTTAAGATTGCACCTTAAAAACTAGGTGAAAAATTACAAAGAAAGCATAAGGAAAGAAAGAAATGAAAAGCAGTTATCAATGAGATAGCAACAAAAATCAGTGAAACTAAAATTACTAAATCTATAGCCAGAATGATAAAATGGAAGACATAAATTGTAAATATCAGAAATAAAACAAGGAGGCATCATTACAGATCATACAGACATTAAATGGATTGAAAGGGAATGTTATCAATAACTTTATGCCAGTAAATTTAATGGCATAGATGAAACATACAAACTTCTTAAAAGACATAAACCATTAAAGCTCACTCAAGAATATATAACATAAATAGATATCTATCTATTAAAGATATATAGCTAAATACCTGCCCACAAAGAAAATTCTAGAATCAGATGACTTATTCAACGTAGCTCTAGAAGTTCTAGCCAGTGCAATAAGACAAGAAAAGGAAATAAAATGTATAAAAATTAGAAAGGAAAATATAAAATTGTCCCTATTTGTAGATGATATGATCACATACATACAAAACCTAAGGAAATGTACACAAAAACTACTAGAACTAATAAGTGAGTTTGTCAAGTTTGCAAGATATAAAATAACATACAAAAATCAATAGTATGTCTATACACTAGCAATGAACATGTGGACATGAAAATTAAAAATACTAAATGCAGATGGCGAAAAGGCACATGAAAAGATGCTCAACATTGTTAATCATCATGGCAATGCAAAGCAAAACCACAGTGAACAGTCACCTCACATCTGAATGGCTATCATCAAAAAGAACACAAATAACAAATATTGGCAAGGATGTAGAGAAAAGGGAACCCTTGTACACTGTTGGTGGGAATGTAAATTGGTGTAGCCACTGTAGGAAACAGTATGGAGGTTTCTCAAAAAACTGAAAATAGAACTACCATATGACCCAGCAATTTCACTCCTGGGTATATAGCTGAAAAAGTAAAAACAATAATTTGAAAAGATACATGCACCACAATGTTCATAGCAGTGTTACTTACAATTGCCAAGATGTGGAAGCAACCTAAGTGTCCATCAATAGATGAATGGATAAAGAAGAAGTCACACAAACACACACACACTGGAATACTCCTCAGCCATAAAAAAGAATGAAATTTTGCTATTTGCAGTAACATGGATGGATGTGGAGAGTATTATGCTAAGTGAAATAATTCAGAGAAAGACAAATACTGTATGATATTACTTATATGTGGAATCTAAAAAATACAACAAACTAGTGAACACAACACAAAAGAAGCAGACTCATACATATAGAGGACAAACTAGTGGATACCAGTGGGGAGAGGGAAGGGGGAGGGGCAATATAAGGGTAGGGGATTAAGAGGTATAAACTATTATGTATAAAATAAGCTACATGGATATATTGTACAACACAGGGAATATAGCCAATATTTTATAATATCTATAAATGAAGTATAACCTTAAAAAATTATGAAGTACTATATGTGCACCTATAACATATAATATTGTACATCTACTATACTTCACTAAAAACTAAAAATACTATTTTATAAATAAAATACTTAACAAAACATCTACAGAACTCGTATATTGAAAACTACAAAATGCTGATGAGAGAAATCAAAGAAAATCTCAATAAATGCAGAGACATGTTTGTAGATTGAAAGACTCAACATAGTAAAGATGACAGTTCTCATGAAGTAGATACAGGTTTAGTGCAATCTCATCAACATAACAGCAATATTTCTTATAGATATAGACAAGATTCTAAAATTTATATGGAAAGGCAAAGGAATTAGAACAGCTAAAACAATTTTGCAAAAAGAATAAAGTGGGAAGAATCATTCTACCTGATTTAAAGACTTTTATATAGCTACAGTAATCAAGACTCTGTGGTACTGCTGGAGAGATAGACATAGAACAGTGTAATAGAAGAGAGAGCAGAGAAATAGACGCACATAAATATGCCTGATTTTTGACAAAGGTGTAAAATCATTCAATGGAGGAAAGATAAACTTTTTAAAAAATGGTGCTGGAGCAACTGGACATCCATAGGCAAAAAAATAAATATTGCCCTAAGTTTCACACCTTATATGGAAATAAACTAAAAAATAGATCATGGACTTAAATGTAAGATGTAAAA